TTTAGTAAAGCATATCAATTAAACTGTGAACAGCTTTCCCTCCCCGCACCCTGATTCCTCTCCTGAAACTGTCATCAAAACAAAACACTAAGCCCTCAATGAACACTATCCCAGCAACCTACTTTACTACCCTACTCTTACCTTTTGTGTCACATTAACCCACTCCCTCTAGCATTTAAGCTCATTGAGCAAGGCCCTGAATCCCTCTGTTCCTGTGTGTCCAACGTGTCTGGTTACAAATACTTGTCTGTTAATCCACCATTGCTATGGAACTTGTTGGCGCTTTATAAATAATAATAATAATAATAATAATAGATCAGGATAACAGAAAAAATCTTTCTTTTTATCACGCAAAATTTCACTCTCTCACAATAGACCCAGGCAACTGTTTCTTACAGTAGAAAGGCTCTGCAAACCAGCATGCATGCATATCCCAACCAACTTTTCTCAGGATAAGTGTGAAGCATTTGCGATCTTCTTCAGAGACAAGATTTCCTCAATCCAAGCCTCTATCATAGCAGGCCAAGCCGTTACACACCAGAACCACTACAATGGAATGCCAGATTGCCCCAGTTTATGGTCCACTTTTACAAATGTGTCCATAAAGGGAGTTAAAAGAACCATGCAAAAGTTCCATCCTACTATGTGTGACTTAGACCCTGCTCCAACTTAGCTCATATCTGGATGCATTGAAACACTTGACACAGCTGTCACAAAAATAGTGCAATGTGCACTAAAAACTGGAGACTTCCCAGATCCTCTAAAAGAAGCTGTGGTTAAACCACTCCTAAAGAAACCTTTATTAGACCCAGACTTTATGGCTAATTACAGACTAGTACCCAATCTTCCATTTCTGGGGAAATTAATTGAAAAAGTAGAGGCAACTCAACTGGAGGCCCATCTATCAAGCATGAACATCTTTGATTCTTTCCAGTCAGGTTTCAGATGCTGCCATAGCACTGAAACAGCACTAGGCCGAGTGCTTAATGATCTCCTTATGGCGAGAGACATCCATTCTAATCCTCTTGGATCTCTCAGCTGCATTTGACACCACTGACCATAGGACATCTGTGGTCTAGGAGGCACAGTCCAATTTTTCTCAGGATAAGTGTTAAGCATTTGTGATCTTCTTCAGAGACAAAATTTCCTCAATCTGAGCCTCTATCACAGCAGGCCAAACACACCAGAGCCACTACAATGGAATGCCAGATTGCCCCAGTTTATGGTCCACTTTTACAAATGTATATATAAAGGGAGTTAAAAGAACCATGCAAAAGTTCCACCCTACTACGTGTGACTTAGACCCTGCTCCAACTTAGCTCATATCTGGATTGAAACATTCGCCCCAGCTGTCACAAAAATAGTGCAGTGTTCACTAAAAACGGGAGACTTCCCAGATCCTCTAAAAGAAACCTTTATTAGACCCAGACTGCATGGCTAATTACAGACCAGTATCCAACCTTCCATTTCTGGGGAAAATAATTGAAAAAATGGTGGGGACTCAACTGGAGGCCCATCTATCAAGCTTGAACATCTTTGATCCTTTCCAGTCAGGTTTCAGATTCCACCATTGAAGCAGCTCTAGTCCGAGTGCTAAATGATCTCCTTATTGCGAGAGACAAAGGTGATGACACCATCCTAATCCTCTTGGATCACTCAGTTACATTTGACACCATTGACCATAGGATTTTAATAGAGCAATTGCAGCACATCTGTGGTCTAGGAGGCACAGTCCTTAACTGGTTTAAATCTTTCCTCACTGGTATATGATAGAGAGTAACAGGATCAAGCTTATCGGCACCAACAGAACTGGCCTGCGGAGATCCACAAGGATCCATCTTGTCTCCCATGCTATTCACAATTTACTTTCTACCACTGGGGGACATCATTAGGTGACATGGCCTAAGGTATCATTGTTATGCTGATGACACACAATTCTATTTCTCCTTTGCTCCAGATACCACATACTCAACATGCCGCATCAACAGTTGCTTAGCAGACCTCATAGAATGGATGAATGCTAGTTGGCTTAAAGTGAACCCGGACAAAACAGAG